ATCAAGTCTGAGGTCACCCAATACAAAGTTTCTTGCGGGACTCCAATTACACCAGTGGACTCAAACCTTGGTTACAGGGAAAATCACATAACATGTGTTCTGACCCTGGAGTGTGTATACTGGGACTGAGCCTCAGTCATTGATGCCTGTGCAATGAAAAGCATGTCCAGATGCACATGCGGAACATAATAGATAGCTCACCACAGCCAGCAGAGGATGTTAAGTACCTCATCAGAGGACGAAAAAAAGAACAGTTTGGACAACTCTCCTGGCCTACAACATGTTCCTGGGTGTGTAGGTGTACTAAGGTGGACTTGGTCAGCCAATATTACCTTGGTAATATTACCAATATTACCTTGGTAAGGTTTTCCCAACCGTGTTGCAACAAAACTGATAGTATCTCAAAAATAACAAAACAACTCAAGTTACAGCCTCAGAACACTATTTCCCTTCAGGGTCCCTAATGCATCATCAAATGACTGTCCCAATCCCCAAGTGCTGATATTGTTGGATAGCAAGGAGCAACTCATTTTATCACCAACATAAGAGAAAAAAATAAGATAGAACTGAGGGGTCTCAGGACAGGGAGTCTCATGCCTGGATCCCACATGCCAGCCACCACAGGCACGTGGTGAGCTGTCCCCAGGTCTGCCTGGGCTCTGGGGGTTGCTCCCTTCACGGTGAATACACCAAGGGGGGATGTATCCGTGACTGGGTATGTCCAGAGCCCACCTACAGCCCTCATTAGACAGTGAATGGGATTGGGGAGGGGTGCGACCTTAGGCCTGGGGATTTAAACTTTCTGCAGCCTCCTGGCTGTGGGTGGGTTTCAGGATGGGGCTTCTCACGCCTGGATTCCAGATGACAGCCACCATGTGCATGTGGTGAGCTGTTCCAGGGTCAGCCAGTGTGCCATTTAGCGCCAGGCTCTGCCTGTTGGCTGCCTGGCCAGGGAGCTCTGGAGTTTTGGTTCTTTGAATCTCTGCTTAGGTAGATCCAGGTTGAACCCACTGTGCTTCTGGGATGTGAGTCAATTGTAAAGATTCCCAATGACAGTAACTCTTCCTTTGAAGAACTTGTAATCACTTAAGAATGCTGAGCACCGAACACCAGTTCATGCAAAAGATAAGGCTTGGAGCTTGTCCAGCAGGATATGCTATTACCTGACATGATGGTGGATTAGCAGATGGGTCACATTAGGCAGGGTCATGACATCAACTAGCACTCAAGAACCATATCCGGGGGAAGATTCTGTGAGGGATGTGTGGTACACATCTTGTGGCAATTCTAGCCAAACTGGTTAGCTCAAGTGTTTGGGTAGTGATGGACTAAACTACATGGGAACAAGGAGTCTGCCATCAATCACAGGTAAAGGAACTCCCAACAGTCTGGACTGGTCAAGGCAGCACACCCGAATGTGCATCCTGAATAAGGTGTGGGCTGGGCTGGGCTGGGCTGCAACATTCACCAGCTCATACAAGGCCAAAAGGAAGGTCAGACTGCGCTGGGCACTAGCCTAAAACCCAATGGCATGTATGAGAACTGAATCTGGGAGCGGATCAAGCAGAAGAACTTGGGAAACTCCTCTGGCGAGTCATAGTTCCTACTGGTGAACATGTGGTCCAGACCTGGGGGTTGGAAAAGCTGGGCAAAGTAGCTCCAACAGCTGGCCATTGTGTGAATTGGTAATAGAACGGGATGTATTGGGCAGGACTGAGCAAACCTTAACCTACAAGCAAACTAGAAACCAGGATGGAGCACAGGTCATGCTGAGCCAGGCCCTTGCACCTACTGGTCTGCATGAGCCAGGGACGCTAAGTCACAGTGTCCAGGGCAGAGGTCAGGACAGGTGAGGGGCTGGGCTAAGCTGAGTCAGAGCAACCACTGGCATGCATGTGATCTATGGCTGGGAACAGGGCTGGTTGGGGAGCTAAGGGAACAACCCTAACTGGGTTGAGGTTTCCACCAAGGGGTGTTTAGGCTGGAATGGGGGCTGAGTTCTGATCAGGAAATGGTTGTAGTCTCAACTTGGCACAAGTGTGGACAGGGACTGGAAGCACCAAGCTGGCCCAGACCCACATACTGTCTGGTGTCCTGGAGGATCAGGGTGGGTATGGGATGGACTAGGCTAGGTCTCAACTCCTACTGAGTCATGTGTGAGCTGTATGTGGGTATGGACGAGCCATGGCTGGGCTGAAACATCTAATAGCAAGAACCAGCTTGGCTTGAAGGCCAGCCAGGAAAAGCCACTGTTCCTGCTAGGACAGGAGGTAAACTGAGTAGTACTGGTTCATGGACCGCCTGGTATGCACAAAATCTGGCATTGGGAGAGGTTCTGATGGAGGATCCTGGGCAACTCCTCTGGCAGGACACAGACCCGGCAGGTAAGTGCAAGAAGCATGACAGGAAACAGCCCAGAACAGGACATGGAAAGTTTCCCACTGGCATACAATTTGGCATGGGTCATGGGCAGAGCAGGCTGAATCAGTTCACTTCACCCACTGGCGAATCCGAGCACCAGAACAGAGTGTGGGTCGAGCCAGGTTCGGTCGAAACAGAAACCAGTGCACAATACAGAATGCCAAGGTGAGGTTGCCCGTGCTGGGTGTGACCACAGCACACAACCAGCATGAGTGAGAACCAGGAAGGGAGGGGGCGGAGCCGGCAAGGGTAATAAGGGGGCATCCCCTTGCCAGACAGCTATTCCCACTGAAAAGCATGGGCTGGGCTGGGGGCAGACCAGACTAAGCAGGGCTACAACATCTGTGGGCCTCATGTGGACCAGATCAGGGAAAAGCCAGGGTGAGCTGATTATTCCTACTGGTGCAAGCATAAGTTAGAGTGGGTAGGGGGTTGTTGGCCTTAGCCACAGCATCAGCTGGAGGAAGCTGACACTGGGGGCTAATTCTGTCAAGTCAAACCACAGAGCCACCTGGAGAGTGCACAATCCTGGAGTGAGAGAGACCTGGGAGGGAAATAGTGGGCTCATCCCTCTTGAGTTACCATTCCCACAGGAGGGCATGAAAACTCGGACAGGGGATGGGGTGGCTAGACAGAGAGGCACTTAACAACATCCAAGAGGGCTGGAGAGTTGAGCCTGGTTGGATGAACTAAGCTTCAATACCCATTGACCCGTACAAGAGCCAAATGGGATGTGGGACAGACTGGACTAGTCTGCTGCACATATTGGCAAATCAGTGTAGGGGGAAGGCCTGGTGGGGGTTATTGTCAGTCGCTCTGGCTAGGTTGCAGCTCCGATTGGTTTGCATGAGGGCAGAGTGTGTGCTGGGCAGAACCAGGATGGACTGCAACACCCATTGCTTCCAGTGGAACTCGGGGCTGAAAACAGAACCAACCCAGCAATTGCAACCACCAGCTAATGGGACAGTGGACTGTGCTGGGCCCTGTGCTTGCTAGAACACACAGGAATCTGGTCTGGGAATACATCAAAGTTTCTTTTGGGATCTCCCCAATCGAAATGCTGGACTCAGAACCCTAACCAAGAAAAGACAGAAGACAGAACAGGTCAATCAACCACCTCAGCTATATGTTGGCAGTGAAATACTGGACAAATGGAGACTCTGTGATGGACTATGTCAATCAGTGGATTCTTCAACGACATTATTGTGCTTGGAGTGGCGAGATTGGCAGCGATTCATAACTGGTGAACTATCAAAAACACTTGAGCAAGTATCTCAGAGCATGCCCCACATCTGGGACCTGTGGTGGGTGGGAAATTGGGTGGGGCTTCTCCCTCAATATCCCCCTTTACCTCCGATACATGAAGGAAACAATATGGAAATAATAGTCTCTTACCCAATTCCCTATAGCCCTTGAACCTTTTTACCCTAATTAACTATGTACAGATTGTCAAAAATATAATAAAAAATGAAAAAAATTAAAAAAGATCTAAATATTATGTAACACACACAGATTTCTTGGGTTTGGAAGAGGCTTCTTTGTGGTATATATGTATATATATGATAGAACTGAAATGCATGTCTCACTCAGCTTCTTTCATACCTAGACCCTCACCACTCTAATAATATAAAAGAGGATAAAGTGATACTTCCTTGAAAATAATAGGTCATAGTTAGCTTCCCTATTCATTTTCTCTCCATGACTTATTGCAAATATCTTTTAATGTATATGGTGAATGATGTTTATTTTATTCAATGTATTTTGCACAATAAATTTACATTTCTGCAATCACTTATTTTCCTTTTCAGATGCTGCAGCAGGTTTCCAACTGTCCTCAAAATTAAATTCCTATTCTATGTTTCAACCCCACCCCCTAAATACATTGCTTTACAAAATTAAATGCCAGCATGCCTCTCATAATTCTGATGTATCAGAAAAGTTACCTGTTGCTACTTGTGCATGGCATGACAGCCTTTCATCCCCTTTTTGCCTTTGTTCTTTTCTCTCTTTAACATTACATCATAGCTGTGTTTTGAGACACACCATGTGCCACTCCTCCCTTCTTCATGAAGTACACTTACATTTTACTTTTGAAATTGTTGCATACCCATTTATCACTGTCCAAGTATATATTAGAAGGGTGACACTTTTTTCTTTTTCTGTATTTTATCTCTTACCGCTAGAAGAGGAGCTTGTAACATAAGTAGTATTGGTTGGCAGGTCATGCTGTTATGCAGAGGGAACACTCACCAAAGGAATGATTGTATGTTAATCAAAATGCTTTATTTAGGAGGTAGCTATTACTCTTGAGCAAATAATATATGCATCAAGTTATAAGAAAAGCATTTAGAAGCGAGGTTTGTTGATGAAGTTTTTGAAGAGAAATTTTGTAAGAGATCTTATGACTTTAGACAATGGCTTGTATCTGGAGAACAGGGATCACAATGATCAATTATATTATGGACTTTTCTTCAAGTTACTTTTATTCTTCCACTTTTCTCTATTTGCCTCTGTTCTTTATTGAGCCTTTTACTGATTTTGTTTTTCCTTTACCACTTTCCTTGCTTTAGTATCTTTTCTTTCATCTCGATTTTTTTCTGCATCTTCTTTATTTTGCCTTTATACCCTTTATCAGCAGAGCCCTTATTTTCTTGGGCTTCTTGTCCTTCTCCTAATTTTCCTCACTTGTCTGCTTTTGAACTTCCTGTCCTGACTCTTTTCTCCGGCTTATCTTCCTTTGGACTTCCTGTCCTGGTATGTTTTCCTCACTTCCTATCTCACTTCTTAGCTCACTTTTCTTTGTTTGGACTTCCTGTCCTAATATTTGTTCCTCACTTCCTATCTCACTTCCTAGCTCACTTTTCTTTGTTTGGACTTCCTGTCCTGGTACTTCTTCCTCACTTCCTATCTCACTTCTTAGCTCACTTTTCTTTGTTTGGACTTTCTGTCCTGGTACGTCTTCCTCACTTCCTATCTCACTTCTTCTTCTATTTTTCTTTGTTTGGACTTCCTGTCCTGGCACGTCTTCCTCACTTCCTATCTCACTTCTTCTACTTTTCTTTTTGTGGACTTCCTGTCCTGGTACGTCTTCCTCTTTTCCTATCTTACCTCTTAGCTCACTTTTCTTTTTGTGGACTTCCTGTCCTGGTACGTCTTCCTCACTTCCTATTAAACTTCTCAGCTCACTTTTCTTTTTGTGGACTTCCTGACCTGGTACGTCTTCTTCATTTCCTATCTTAATTCTTAACTCACTTTTCTTTGTTTGGACTTTCTGTCCTGGTACATCTTCCTCACGTCTTATCACACTGACTATTTCACTTTTATTTTTTTGGATTTCCTGTCCTATTGATATTTCATTTCCTCTCATTTTCTTTTGAGCTTCAAGTGTTTCTGGTATTCTGGAATCAATCTTCTTTATTTGGGATTCTTGTCTTTTTGTTATTTCAGCATTGCTGTCTACCTTGGCCTCTCTTCCTTTCTTCTGTTTTTCCAATTCAGTGCCTTTTGTTGTTCTTTTTAACTCTCCTTTTTGTATTGGAAGCACAGATTCAGTGGAATCTGTGGCTATTTCTTTTTTTGGTGCTTTCTTGCTGTCCTGTAGGCTCTTTTGAGAACTTGCGGTTCCTGCACACTTTAGAATTTGTGCTTTGGACTCTGACTTCTTTGCACATTCTCCATCCATATAACCTGGAAATATAACTGGGGATACAACAAAGTGCATGATATAAACATCAAATATATTCTCTATTCTTATTTCGCCCCATATTGATTCCTTTTAAAAAATTAAGCTGGCAAACAGGAGGTACCTTGAGATATTCGTGGAAATATAAAATTGTGGAAACTATGTATAAAATTATACAAGTATTGATAAACTTCAAGACTATTGTTAGTAAACTGGGAGGGTAATGAAAGAAAAAAGCAAATTGTATTATAAATGAACTGATATTTGTACACCAGTTTATGAGTAATAAGTTAAGGACTAAAAAAGAATGTTTTCAGAAAAGAAATAAAATGTATTTTAAGAAAAGTTTGTGGAAAGAAGCAACAATTACTTAAAAAAAAACAGAAAAAGGAAACTCAAATATACTTTCCATATTAAATAAGCACATATCTCCTTTTGTAATAATTGAAGGTGTTGGCAAATGATTTCATATACCAGGCACTGCTCAGAGCGTTTTATATATTAAATCATTTAACCTTCACAACCATCAGAGTGGGTACTATTTATTATTACTATTATTACTCTCTCTTTAAAGGGGAAGACAATGATGCACAAGAAAGGAATATGAAGAAGATTGTGAAATTAGTAGGTGATGGAGCTAGCTGGAATTTGAACCTGTATAGTGAGACTTCATAGTCCAGTTGTTGCTATCATTTTAGACTGTTCTTTGCAGTAATTGCTAGTTTACACTCTAACCACTTCTGGTACTTTTATTCATGTACAAGTATCAATTTCCATGTGAAGTAATAAACTTGACTTTGTTAGTTTCTGTAAAATATTATTTATTTTGTTGTTCTACTCTTTTTTTGGTAATTGGCTTCCTTGAATAAGGTAAAGAAAACATATTTTAAGTTTTATTTGTCTGAGAGGCAGAGAGATTGCAATAGATATAGATAGAATGTGAGAGATTACGCTTTCATCTATTGGTCTAGTTTCCAAATACCCACAACGACATGTGCAGGGCTAGGCTGCATCCTAGAGTCAAGAATCCTGAGTTGGGAATTCAACCTAAGGTACCTTGCTGTAGACTGAAACCTTTATATATTGGAGTAACTGCCCACTCATAAAGAGATGGCTAAGCTACAAAGAAAAATTGTATGAGATCTTGGTATTAAACTAAGGGATAATTTTGCTTTTAAAATCTATGTGTTGTTGAAACTTACAAAAAAGAATATCAAAATTAAAAGCTGAATAAACATAGCTGGGCTTACAAAAGACCCTGCCTAGCTAGATCATTTAAAATTAAAAAACAGAAACCACAAGACAAAAAAAAAATTGTTATAAATCTCAAAACAATGAGAAGCACATACAGAAGTAGCAGAAATTTAAGCATATATTACCCAGAAAATAGAAGCATTGAATCAAGTGAAAGCCAATATTTCGGAAATTGAGAATATAATGAAAGGGCCTGGCATTATAGCATAGCAGTTAAGGTCCTTACTTTGAACATGCCAGGATCCCATATGGGAACCGGTTCTAATCCTGGCGGCCCCACTTCCCATTCAGCTCCCTGCCTGTGGCCTGGGAATGCAGTCAAGGATGGCCCAATGTTTTGGGACCCTGCACCCGCATGGGAGACCCTGAGGAGGCTCCTGGCTTTGGATTGGCTCGGTTCCAGCTGTTGCTGCTACTTGGGGAGTGAATCATCTGATGGAAGATCTTGCTCTCTGTCTCTCCTCTCTGTATATCTGGCATTCCAATAGTAATAAACAAATCTTTAAAAAAAAAAGAATAAAATTGAGCAAATTAAAAATTCAGTGGAAAGTCTCAATAATAAAATGAATGAGGCAAAAGAAAGAATCTCAGTGGAAGACAATTCCTGAAACAATGGGTAAACAGTCAAAAAGCTGCAAGATGAATGGAGTTAAGCAAAGAAAATATTCAAGGATTAATGGACTTTTAAAAAGATTTATTTATTTTTTATTGGAAATTCAGATATACAGAGAGGAGGAGAGACAGAGACGAAGATCTTATGTCTGATGATTCACTTCCCAAGTGGCCACAACAGCTAGAACTCAACCCACCTGAATCCAGGAGTTTCTTCTGGGGTTCCCATGTGGGTGCAGGGTCCCAAGGCTTTGGACCATCATCTACTGCTTTCCCAGTGCACAAGAAGAAAGCTGGATGGGAAACAGAACCACCAGCATACAAACTGATAGCCATATGGGATCCTGACTTGTGAGGGTTAGAAATTTAAGCTGCTAGACTACCATACTGGACCCAAGGGATATTATTAAAAGACTAAAATAAGAAGAATAAAATAAGGAAAACTTCCTTAACATTGAGAAATAATTGGGAATTATAGTGCAAGAGTGGCACAGAATTGCCGATAGGGTCGACCAAAAACAATCTTCACCATGACAAATTATAATCAAATCCTCTCCAGTTGAAGACCCTTAAATATGCCCATGAAAAATATCAATTAATATTTAGAGGAATCCCAACCAGACTCACAACTGACCTCTTTGAGGAAACTGTATAGGCCAGAGGAGAATGTAGTGACACATTCCAGATTCTAAAGAGAAGAAAATATCAGCCCAGAATAACTCACCTAGCAAAGCTTTCCTTTGTCTGAAAATGAAGAAACATTTTTGCACAGTAAAGTAAAGCTCAGATAGTTTGCCTTTTCCAGATCACCCAACAAATAACAGTTAGAGATGTTCTCTTCATAGAGAAAAGGAACAGCACAAACCCAAACCAAAGTCTAACATGGAGAGCATCCGACAAAGCAAGACTAAATCAAACAATTAATGACCTACTGCTAAAATAACAGGACCAAATTTCCTACATTTCAATATTAACCCTCAGTATAAATGGTTTAAATTCATTAATCAAACATCAAGATGATAGCTGCTTGCAAGAAACAAATATTCTATGATGTTTGATTAATGAATTTAAACCATATCAAAGCCAGATAGAGATACAAAGAAAAAGTGAGCTACAGACCAGTATCCCTTATGGACACAGACTCTAAAATCCTAATTACCAGCTAACAGACTCAAACAATATATCAGCAAGTTTTTCACCTGAACCAGGTAGGATTTATCTCTGGCAAGCAGAGATGGTTTAACATTCACAAATCAATAAATGTGATTCACCACATTAACAAATTGGAAAATAAAAACCATATGTTCATCTGAATAGATGCAGAAAAGGCATTTGATAAAGTCTAAAAACATTTCATGCTAAAAAAGACCTAAACAAGACAGGTATAGAAGCAACATTCTACAACACAATCAAGGCAATATATAAAAATACAATGCCACCATTATACTAAGTGACAAAATACTGAAAACTTTTACACTAAGATGTGAAATTAGATGAGGATGTCCACTTTCACCACTGCTATACAATACAGTATTGGAAGTTCTTGCTAGAGCTATTAGGTAAGAAAAAGAAATGAAAGGATTTCAAGTCAGAAATGAGAATTTGAAATTTTGAAATTGAAAAAAAATCTGTTTGTAAATGGCATGATGTTTTACATAGTAGAAGCAAGAGATTCAATGTGCAACTCATTAGAGAATTTGACAATATAGCAAAATACAAAATTAATGTACACAAATTGGTATATACAAATAATTCCATGGATGAGAAAGAACTTGTAAGTAAAGTCCCCTTTTATATAGTAGAGAAGAATTTTGAATGCCTTGGAATTAACCTAACCAAAGATGTGGAAAATTTTTATGAATATAACTGTAAATCATACAAAAATATAGAACACATTAAAAGATGGGGAAATTTACCATATTCCTTGATTGGTAGGAATAACATCATTAAAATATCCATGTTATCATGAGTAATATACAGATTCAATGTGATCCTAATGCAAACCCCAACATCATTCTTCTCATAAATAAAAGAAAAAAGATAATAGAAAGGTTTATCTGGAAACACAACAGACCATGTACTATCGGGACAATTGGACTGCAGTCTGCAGAGAAAGAAGACTCCAACACATCACCTTAAAAATAGCACTAAATGGATCACAGACCTAGATCTGCAACCAGAACCCATCAAACTATTAGAGGAAAATCACAGGATATACCCTGCGAGACATAGGAAACTGGGGACTTGTTAGAGACACCAAAAGCACAATCAGCCAAAGCCAAAATAAACAAATGGGACTACATCAAACTAAAAGCTTTTGTACAGTAAAGGAAACATTTAACAAAGTCATTAAGCAGTTAATAGTATGGAAGAAAATCTTTGCATGCTATGCAACAGATAGGGGATTAATATCCAGGGTTTAAGAAGAGCTTCAGAAGCTTAGTGGCAGCAAAACTGAAGAAATGGGTGAAGGAAACGAACAGATATCTTTTCAAAAGAACAAATTAAAATAAATGGCTCATAGACATATGAAGAAATGTCAAGCTCCCTTGCTGTCAGGAAAATACAAATTAAAACCTAAATGAGTTTCTACCTAGCTCCAGTGAGATTGTCCTACATTCAGAACTCTGCTAACAGTAGTTGTTGGTGTGAGTGTGGGGAGAAAATTACCCTCCTTCACTGTTGGTTGAGTGTGGTCTAATATAGCAACTATTGAAGTCAGTATGGAGAGTGCTAAGCAAATCAATCTGTCATATGACCCAGCTATACCACTTCTGGGGACATATCCAAGGGAAATGAAATCTGCATATAAGAAAGTGACCTGAAATCCTTTATTATAGCAGCACAATTTACAATAGTGAAGACATGGAAATAACCCAGATTCCCATGAAAAGATAAATGGTTAAAATAACTGGTATATCTCCTCTATAGAATGCTGCGCAGCCATTTAAAAAAGTGAAATTCTAACACTTGCAACAAAATGGTTCCAATTTGAAACCATTGTGCTCAATGAAATAAGCTAATTCCAAAGAACAAATATTGTATATTATCTTTAATATGAGAAACTTCATGTAAAATACAAGACCTACATATGTGTATGTATATATGGTCATTTAGAGAAACTGTGTAATAGAACCTATAATATCAATATGTGAAGATACAATGCAGTATTT